CTACTGCAAAATTGGCCAATTAGAGGAAGGTCAACAGCTTATAGTTGGGCAATTAAACTTGGATTTGACTCATATCCTTTCATTACAAATGCTGCAATGGATATTATGGCAAGTGTGGTGAAATGGATGATGTGTTAAGAATAGTTCCTGAACCAATAAATCGGTCTCGGTTATCATGGAACATATTGATATCAGCTTTTGCCAGACATGGTATTTCCAGAAAGTGAAAGAAAACTTTCATGAAATGCTGAAACATGTGAAACCCAACCATGTTACATTTGTCTCTCTCTCTCTGCATTTCGTATGAGGTCTAGCGGAGAAGGTCTTGAATACAAACTGCAATGACTAGAGAATTCGGTGTGCCAGCTGGATTAGAGCATTGTGTATGTGTCTTTGATCTTCTTGGACTATCGGAAGGCTTACAGAGGCTGAAACTTTCATCAAAAAATGCCAGTCCCACTGACCTTGTGTGAAGCTTGTTATCTTCATTTAAAATTCATGGCATCTGGAGCTTGCAAGGAAAGCTGCAGAACATCTATCCAAGTTGGACCCATCTGACTACTCGAATTACATTCTTTATTCAAATGTCTGTGCAACCACAGGAAGATGGAAGGATTTAGAGAATGTCAGGCGCAAATGGATCAAACAATATAAAAAAGAAGCCTGCTTGCAGATAGGTTAAGTGAAAGATGGAGTGAGTTCATTTGGGATGGGAGACCAATCACATACACAGAATGGGCAGATATATGCAAAGTTGAAGAACTAGAAAGATATTAAAGAAGCAGGGTATGTTCCTGATACAGCCGCATTGCAAGATATAGATGGAGAGCAAAAGGAGCAAAACCTTTGGAACCACAGTGAGAGACTTGCTCTTGCATTTCTGATGAGTACTCCTGAAGGTTCAACTGTTGAATTTTCAAGAACCTCAGGGTCTGTAGTGATTGCCATTCTGTTTTCAAGTATATTAGCAAAATCATTAGGAAAGCATCTACTGAAGACCCTATCAATTTCACCATTTAATGAAACTTGCCTGAATTTTTTGTCAGCATCAATTATGCCAATCTCAATGTTTTTGCCAGAAATTCGCCCTCAAACCTTAAAATATGTAGAGAAAATGAGAGCTATTTAACAATTAAAAGGAAAAGTCAATTCAGATTTCAAATATTCATTGCACAAACATGCGAAGCCACAAAATACAAGACCTTCCTCAAAGGCATAGCTTTTCAATAATATGTAATAAGAGTTGGGACCAAACTTCCAGCTACTCAGAAATCCAAGGTTTAAAAGAGAATTTATTTCCAAATTTTCTATACCAGAACCCTCCTCCTCCCTTCTCTTATAAATGATGTTTGTAATTGAAACTGAAAAAATTCATTGATTTTGGGCAAAAATAGTGCATTAGTTTAGTTGAAAGCCCAGTGGATGGTCAGTTTTGTATATTTTCTTTTTCCATTGAGCAGAAGGGGCATGTGTGTTGGGCTGATATTTCTTTAATTTAATCGGTGCTTTGTATCCTAATTTCTTGTTATTTATGGACCTATTATTATTTATTTATTTTTTTTTCAGAAACATGAAATCCAAGAGCTGACCAACGAGGATTCTTCTCTAAAAACAATGAGTTTGCTACCTGGTTAAAGAAGAAAAGAAATTGTTCTTTTCTGATCTTCATCCAATTCTGCACGCAAATATTTCTCAGACTTTGTCAAGGAATGGAACAGGAATAAGCTCGATTCCTTGAAGATAACATATATATTAAGTTAACGCAAGATTTTTACAAGTGATGATAACTGAGGTTGCCATAACAATAACTAAAGCTGGCTAGGTCTTATAGCAAACTCTCCGTTTCAAACTCAAAGCTCACCAGGACACATTGGTTCCCGCCAAATTCAAACCCACTTGAACCCACAACCATTTCCACAGCAACTTTCACACATGCCGAATAAAACAAAACAAGAAAACAACAACAATCACACCTCAAGCCATGGCTTTTTTTTCCTTCTCGAACCACCCGACCCCTGAAATTTCATGCTTTTATCAGAAGGGTTTTTCCCAAATCACTAGAGAGTCCACTGGCAAAGCCTTGCACGCGCTTTGCATCCACGGATGGCCAATCTTAGCGTGTTTTATAACAATACTTTGATTAATATGTACTCGGTTTGGTTATATAGACATTGCTCGTTACGTGTTTGATAAAATGAGCGAGAGAATGATGCCTCTTGGAATAACTTGATCAGGGCTTGTTAGATTGAGGTTTTTATCAAGTCTTTAGTTTGTTTAGGGAAATGTTAGCTTTGGTGTTAGGCCAAGTGGAGTTTTTGTTGCGAGTTTGTAACGCTTGTGACAGGTCAGGGATTATGGTTGTCAAGGAGTCAAGGCATTGTTTAGTGTCAAAGTTGTTTAGTGTTGATGTTTTTGTTGGTACTTCGCTTTTGCATTTTTATGGGGCATATAGGTTTGTTGCTGATGCTAGAGAGTTCTTTGAGGAAATGCCGAATAGGAATGTAGTTTCTTGGACTTCATTGATGGCTGCATATTTGGAATGTGGGAATGTGATGGAAGTTATGAGTATTATAGGCCCATAATGTAAGGTGTGAGTTGCAATGAGAACGCTGTCCACAGTGATTACTTCTTGTGGATTGAAAAAAGATTTGTTGGGTTATCAAGTTCTTGGAGATGTTAAAAGTTTGGATTAGAGATGCTCTTTCTGTGTCACACCTCTGATATCATTTTGGTAATTTTGGGAGTGTGAAAGAGGCTCGTAATATCTTTCAGAGCATGCTAAAAACGGACACGATATCATGGAATTCAATGATTTCTGTATATGTTCGTGGTGGCCTTTGTGAGAAAGCACTACGATGTTTTTATTCGATGCGTTATATTCATGCGGAATAAATTCTACTACACTGTCAAGTTTGTTATCTGTCTGTGGTTCTTGGCTAATTTGAAAGTGGGCAGGGGAATTCATGGTCTAGTAGTTAAGTTGGGTCTGGATTCAAATGTTTGTGTAGCAACACTCTGCTCTCTATGTATTCTGAGGCTGAGATGTAAAGATGCAGAGTTTTTATTTCGAGAAATGCCAGAGAGGGATTTGATCTCATGGAATTCATTGATTGCTTGCTATGTTCAGGATGGGAAGTGCTTACAAGCCTTGGAAGTTTTTCTCTAATATGCTCCAGAAGCAAAAAATACACAACTATGTGACTTTTACAGTGCATTGGCTGCCTGTTCAGATCCTGAGTTGCTTTTCAAGCAAGTTGTTCATGCTCTGGTAACTCGTATGGGCTACATGAGATTTTGATTGTTGGCAATGCATTGGTCAGCAGTATGCTAAGTCTGGTATGATGGTTGAGGCAAATTGGGTATCCAGATGATGCCTCAGCATGACCTGTGAGTTGAAGGCACTCATGGTGGTTATGCTGAAAATGAAGAACCAAATGCAGCAGTTGAAGCCTATAAATTAATGAAAGAAGAAGGGAACCCTATGAACTACATTACAATTGCAAATGTTCTTGGTGCTTGTTTGACTCCTCAGGATCTACTAAAGCATGGGATGTCTATCCACGACTATAGTTCTAATGGGACTTGAATCATAAATAGTTCAAAACTCCCTTATCACAATGTATGCCAAGTGCGTGATCTCAATTCAAGTAACTACATCTTTGATGGAATCTAACAAGAATTCAGTCTCATGGAATGCCTTGATTGCTGCAAACGCTCGTCATGCCATGGAGAGGAGATTTTAAAACTTATCATGAAGATAGACACACGGGATAGAATTAGATCAGTTCAGTTTTCTCTGAAGGCCTTGCTGCTACTGCAAAATTGGCCATATTAGAGAAGGTCACCAGCTTCATAGTTTGGCAATTAAACTTAGATTTGACTCAGATCCTTTCATTTAATGCTGCAATGGATATGTAGGGGCAAGTGTGGTGAAATGGATGATGTGTTAAGAATAGTTCCTGAACCAATAATCGGTCTCGGTTATCATGGAACATATTGATATCAGCTTTTGCCAGACATGGTATTTCCAGAAAGCGAAGAAACTTTCATGAAATGCTGAAACATGTGAAACCCGACCATGTTACATTTGTCTCTCTTCTCTCTGCATGTTAGTCATGGAGGTCTAGTCAGGAAGGTCTTGAAACTACTCTGCAATGACTAGAGAATTCGGTGTGCCAGCAGGAATAAGCATTGTGTATGTGTTGTTGATCTTCTTGGACCGAGGAAGGCTTACAGAGGCTGAAACTTTCTTATAAATGCCAGTCCCACTAATGACCTTGTGTGGCGAAGCTTGTTACTTCAGGTAAAATTCATGGCAATCTGGAGCTTGCAAGGAAAGCTGCAGAACATCTATTTGAGTTGGACCCATCTGACGATCGAATTACGTTCTTTATTCAATGTCTGCGCAACCACAGGAAGATGGGAGGATGTAGCTAATGTCAGGAGGCAAATGGGATCAAACATTAATAAAAAAGAAGCCTGCTTGCAGTTGGGTTAAGTTGAAAGATAGAGTGAGTTCATTTGGGATGGGAGACCAATCACATACACAGAATGGGCAGATATATGCAAAGTTGGAAGAACTTAGAAAGATTATTAAAGAAGCAGGGTATATTCCTGATACAAGCCAGGCATTGCAAGATATAGATGAAGAGCAAAAGGAGCAAAACCTTTGGAACCACAGTGAGAGACTTGCCCTTGCATTTGGCTTGATGAATACTCCTGAAGGTTCAACCGTTAGAATTTTCAAGAACCTCAGGGTCTGTAGTGATTGCCATTCTGTTTTCAAGTATACTAGCAAAATCATTAGAAGAAGAATCATACTGAGAGACCCTTATCGATTTCACCATTTTAGCGGTGGTGAGTGTTCTTGTTCTGATTATTGGTGATGTGGCTATATATATACGTTGTCGAGCTCTCAATCATATCCAAATTCATTTTTATAAGCAAGAGAACTCAAATGTGTTGACTCTAAGAACCACCAGTCAACCACATTATCATAAGAAATCAAAGTCAGAAGCATGTTTCGACATTTATAAGTACTTGAGAGGTTCAAACCATGGTTTAGCTAGGACAAAGAAGTTAAAAGTGTTGGGTGCAAAAGGAAAAAAAAACACATATCAAATGCTTTTAGCCAACACATTCACTCTGATTACAAAAAGTTCCATAACTGCTCAGTCACACTGGATTTTATAGTTTGTGCTTCCTCAGCACTTTGCTTTAACGAATTCAATCTCTCACAACAGCTAAATCTTGAAAGATCATAGAACAGTGCTCATGCTATCTTCAATAAAATGAAATGCAATTTACTCCACTTCGGCCAAGTAATCATCAATTTCAGCTGGAGTAAGTACTCTGCAAAAAGATAAGCACAATAAGAAAACTTAGGTGAGACTGAAGACATGCTTCGTTCAAACCAGAAAAATAAACTGAAAGCATGGAATGGGCTGGAAAACATAAATAAAATGAAGTTTAAAAAAAATAAAGTAAAAAAATATACCACTATACAAACAATCACTTGTCATACAGGGAGATAAAAAAAATGAAACTTGCCTGAATTTTTTGTCAGCACCAATTATGCCGATCTCAATGTTTTTGCTAGAAATTTGCCCTTCAAACCTGTAAGATATGTAGGAAAATGAGAGCTATTTTAACAATTAAGAAGGAAAAGCCAATCCACATTCTCAAAATATTGCATTGCACAAACATGCAAACCACCAAATAAGAAGACCTTCCTCAAAGGCACATCTTTTTAAATAATATGTAATAAGAGTTATGGACCAAGCTTCCAGCTACTCAGAAACATCAATGAAGAGACGATTAACCACTTAAATTTCCAACTAGTAGTATCTAAGCTAAATCCTCTATCACAATGATTAAGCATATGTTGAGTTGAATATTGACATAAGGACATTAATGAAAAAAAATCATATGGTTGCAATGATCCTGTGAGATTTCCATTCATGAAAGTAGACTATTATAGCTATTGCTAAGAAGTTTTTCCATTTAATGCAAAGACCCAAGAGTTAGATTCTTACCCTTCCTTCAGGGTCAAAATTGCTGTGTGCACAGCATCATCGAGCTCCATATCCTCTGTATACCTATAAGCACATACCAGAAACAATTAAGAGCAATGTCAAGTATCCACTTAGAACTATTTCACTTCTAAGAACTATTACAATTTTGGTAGTTATGTTCCATTTTCGATGGAAAATGCAATTGGATGTACAATGAGGTATAAGCAATCAAGTTTGCTAACATAAATCATGGGGAAAATAAAATTTAGTGTACCACTAAGGGTGGCTCCATGATTCTTATGGGCCAGCCATTCAAGCAATGCATAAACAGCAACAGATATGCATACAGGTCATCAGAATGGTACAGGATTTAACTTCCAAATAGAAATATACACACAGAAAAAGATAGCACGCCTCACAATCACAAAAAATTAAGGTAATAATTCATTATTTGAACAACCACATTTCACTTTACAAATGGGTCAAATGAAATATCTACTAGAGAAGGATCCAGCCAACAGTATTGAGAATTACACTCACCTCTTCTCAAGAAATGTCTTTGCATTAGAAACATTTTTCCCCATTGCTGAAGCTTTCCAAGAGAAGTATGAACCTGATGGGTCCACCTAGACCAAAATGCACATATTTAAAATTTGAAAGATCCCATACACTATTACACACCCAAAACACAAAAAGATTCATGCATCAGTGATTCCTTAGGTGAAAAAAGATGGTGGATTGTGAAACTAGAAAGAGAAATCCTTTGAAGTGTGCATGTCTTAAATGTCACGGAGGGGCTTCCATGGACAACAAATATGTGCTTTCGATCAGGAAAACTAAGGACCCCTTTGGTTCACTATTTTTACCCTATCCTATTCCACTATCCTATCCTAAAAACCCAAAAATGCATTTGTTTCAATATTCTCAAAATCCAATTCTACTTTATTCAACTCAANAAACCTGTAAGATATGTAGGAAAATGAGAGCTATTTTAACAATTAAGAAGGAAAAGCCAATCCACATTCTCAAAATATTGCATTGCACAAACATGCAAACCACCAAATAAGAAGACCTTCCTCAAAGGCACATCTTTTTAAATAATATGTAATAAGAGTTATGGACCAAGCTTCCAGCTACTCAGAAACATCAATGAAGAGACGATTAACCACTTAAATTTCCAACTAGTAGTATCTAAGCTAAATCCTCTATCACAATGATTAAGCATATGTTGAGTTGAATATTGACATAAGGACATTAATGAAAAAAAATCATATGGTTGCAATGATCCTGTGAGATTTCCATTCATGAAAGTAGACTATTATAGCTATTGCTAAGAAGTTTTTCCATTTAATGCAAAGACCCAAGAGTTAGATTCTTACCCTTCCTTCAGGGTCAAAATTGCTGTGTGCACAGCATCATCGAGCTCCATATCCTCTGTATACCTATAAGCACATACCAGAAACAATTAAGAGCAATGTCAAGTATCCACTTAGAACTATTTCACTTCTAAGAACTATTACAATTTTGGTAGTTATGTTCCATTTTCGATGGAAAATGCAATTGGATGTACAATGAGGTATAAGCAATCAAGTTTGCTAACATAAATCATGGGGAAAATAAAATTTAGTGTACCACTAAGGGTGGCTCCATGATTCTTATGGGCCAGCCATTCAAGCAATGCATAAACAGCAACAGATATGCATACAGGTCATCAGAATGGTACAGGATTTAACTTCCAAATAGAAATATACACACAGAAAAAGATAGCACGCCTCACAATCACAAAAAATTAAGGTAATAATTCATTATTTGAACAACCACATTTCACTTTACAAATGGGTCAAATGAAATATCTACTAGAGAAGGATCCAGCCAACAGTATTGAGAATTACACTCACCTCTTCTCAAGAAATGTCTTTGCATTAGAAACATTTTTCCCCATTGCTGAAGCTTTCCAAGAGAAGTATGAACCTGATGGGTCCACCTAGACCAAAATGCACATATTTAAAATTTGAAAGATCCCATACACTATTACACACCCAAAACACAAAAAGATTCATGCATCAGTGATTCCTTAGGTGAAAAAAGATGGTGGATTGTGAAACTAGAAAGAGAAATCCTTTGAAGTGTGTATGTCTTAAATGTCACGGAGGGGCTTCCATGGACAACAAATATGTGCTTACGATCAGGAAAACTAAGGACCCCTTTGGTTCACTATTTTTACCCTATCCTATTCCACTATCCTATCCTAAAAACCCAAAAATGCATTTGTTTCAATATTCTCAAAATCCAATTCTACTTTATTCAACTCAAAACATTAATAATTACCTTTCTCATAAAGATAACCTAACTCAACTCAGACTTTACTTTTTCCAAAATACTATTCTAAAAAGCATCAAAATAGTGAACCAAACGGAGCCTAAACTACCTGATATAATTGTGGACCTTTGTCATCAAACCCTGCAACCAACAGTGAAACTCCGAAGGGCCGAACACCACTGGTAGGAGGAAACAAATATATCAGTATTGAGAAACAAAAAATGTCATTTGTGGTCAAAGCTTTAGAGATTTAATACACAAAGGCATCTGCCAATGTGTATCACTGCTAATTTACAAAATTCAGTTTCAGATAAAAATTCCCATAAACTATATGCTGAAAGAACCAGATCATCTTGTTTTTCTCTATCTTTGAGAAATGAATTCCAGCTTATAAAGAAGCATCAGCAACAGGTTTACAACATGTCTAGGTCTCTCATTCTTTGAAATACAATGATCAGCTGAAGTAAACAATATCATGTAATAAAGAGCTTATTGTTACCCTGACTGAGTGAACTCCTGCATAACAGCAGCGGTCTCCCTAACAAGCTGTGTAACAGGGATTGGCTCCTGTGAATTAGAACAAATTTAAGTTAAGAGTGATCGCAGAATAGAGCTACAGTCAGTAATGAGTCGATTCTATGAAGAGATTGAAGAGAGATCTTACTACATTAACAAAGTTATCAGAGAAAAAAAATATTAACTACAAAAGATAGAAGATGTATGTGTATCCAAACTTAAAAAGAGTAAGGACAAAAAGGATCCCAAACTTAAAAAGAGTAAGGACAAAAAGGATCAATGGAAGATTTGCTCAAGCAATGGCGGTAAGAAAAACAAAGTAGAGTGTTACTTTATATAGGCGGTGATATTGCTCTGCCTGCTTCCTACTTTTTCGAACTAGAACTCGAAAATCTGGACCCATGCCACTGCATAAGTAATAAAAGATAAAATTAATAAGATAAATTGCATAAAGAGGAAAATAGAAAAAAGAACAGCCTATTCAATGACACAGAAATAACAATAACAACAGGTCAATTTGTTTTCTGAAAACTGAAGACTTCAAGTCGTTTGAGGTATATGAAGTCTAGTTTTCTTCACTAAAATTGGATTAGCAAACCTTTCTGCTCCATTTGAGTATGGAGAGCAATAAAAAAGCAAAATCTTAAACAGTAAAATCTGGAATCTATGGTTTAAACCAAGTTTGGAACTTCTCCTCACAGTACACATTGCAAATTAATCCCACTGAGGAATACACTCACTCTCTGTAACCATCAAAACAAAAAAAATAACATTCACCCACTCCTCCCTCTAATGCCAGAGCCTATTACAAAAGGTGATCAACCCAAAAACCAAAGACTAAGATGTGAGAGGCTTTTCCCAGCCAAATGAAGATTACCGAATCATACACCCCATAGCAAACAAAAAGAATCAGGACCTTCTGTGATAAATTCAAGAATGATGGAAATAACTTATGGAAGGAATCAATTGAGTAATAGACCATCACGTAACAAATATATTTTGCAATGAATGCTGAGAGTAAAATGAAAAACACAACAGAAACTATAGTTCTATAAGCAAACAGCACTCTTAATAGAAAAGAAAACACACAATACTATTGTTAATATAAGAACTTATTAAACATCTGAACATGCTGAAGAAAAAACACCTGTAAACGACTCCAATGTTTGGAGTTAGCGTCTGAATCTTTTGAACCTGCAATCAAACAAATACATAAATCAAAATATGAACTATAAACCAAAAAACTCTCTTGTCTACCATTTCAGCATTGGAAGTATATAAGCAACATTACGGTGTCAGCACCATAAATATGTGGAACATTATATGTTACTCATAATCACAATATCATTCCTCCGCAGCCCTTTAGCATAATAATTTTATGATAAAATAAAATACTCACTGAGGTTTCATCAACCAAAATAGATGGTAGTTTCTTCTCAGTCGCGATGACAACTCCATTAGCAGCTGCAACCACAAACCCATCAGCCAAAAACATTCAAACAATAGAAATTTCCCAAAATCACCAATTACCAATAACTAACAATTGAATCTCTTTGTGAGCACAATTTTTTTTTTTTTTTACCTTTAATTCCTAAAGACGTTTGGCCGGATCCAACAGCCGTTAGCGCATGCTCAATCTGAACAAGCTTCCCAGAAGGACTGCAAGATCACAACAAAAACACAAACCACTGTAAATTAAATAACTTTATATTAAAATTTTAAACTTTAAGCAAATGTAAGTCAGTCCAGACCTGAAAGTTGTTAGAGAAAAAGAATACTGACTGTCACCCATATTTCAAATCAAAAGAACCTGTAAAAAAAAATGTAATAAAAATTATACGCGATTCTGTGTTTCAGTATAAGTAAATGAAGTCAATAAGAAACTGAAAGGGCAGCGCTTTGAGCAGGGATCGCTCTTCACCTTTGAGATCAAAATCTGGGTTTTACGAGAGAGAGAGAGAGAGAGAGTCAGAGAGTGAGTTTGCTTTGTTCTTCTGCTTTTAGTCTTTCAAGTTTCAAGTTTCTTGAACAAGGGGATAGACTAAGGTTCTTAGTAAATAGACAAATTCTTGGGGTTGATAAAAATTAGCCAGTTTTGATAATTCTTCTAAAAATGTCTTAAAATAGCGTGTAAGGACAAAAATACCCCTACTTATTTTTATATACCATTGAAAGACGAAACGATGGCGTTATTGCTCAACACCATAAAGCTTCTCCTTTCACTAAAGCCCTAATCATAAACCTCAACTCAGACGGCAGACTCCGGAGCACGCGGCAAAACGAAACCCCATTCAATTAACGCGATTCTAATACACGCGCCACCGCAGCAGCGGCAGCAGTACAGTAGAAGTGTATCTGTTATCTTAATTGATTAATAATGGCGGAAGAGATTGAGGAAGTAAAGAGCTTTAAAGAATTAGGATTGCGCGATGAACTGGTGGAAGCGTGCGATAATTTAGGGTGGAAAAGCCCTTCTAAGATTCAAGCTGAAGCTATACCTCATGCTCTTGAAGGTTCTCTTCGCTTCACTCTATCTCGATATTCTCCCTTTGAGCCAAGTTAATAATTTTTATTTTGCCAAGTTAGTAATTTATTTTAATTGCAGGTAAAGATTTGATTGGGCTTGCGCAAACCGGTTCTGGTAAAACTGGAGCGTTTGCGCTTCCCATATTACAAGCACTTCTAGATATTGCCGAGACCCAGCGCACAGTTCCTGCTTTTTTCGCTTGTGTGCTCTCTCCAACGAGGTTAGAACCCTGTTCATTAATTTGAATGAGAGAAAAATGAAACTTTGTATCTCGTTTAATTTACTAGTGAGCGTAGGTTAAGTAATCTACTTTTTATCATTTGCAGGGAACTTGCAATTCAGATAGCTGAGCAGTTTGAAGCTTTAGGATCTGGAATTAGCCTTAGATGTGCAGTGGTAAGGTTTCTGATTGCATTCGTTCGTTTTCTGGGTGTTGCATACATTGGTAGGCTTAATGCATTGGTTTCTAAATACTGATCACCACTACTATATTGTGTATAAAAATTTAATCTTGTACCCAATAGATCTTGGTTTGAAACATTCAGTGTTTGTGTTGATGTGAATAGTTATCTGTGTATTATGTTATCTTTAATTGGGAAATTACATTTTAATTTTGGCAATCTTCTCCAAACGTCTGCTTTAAGTATTTTGTGAGTTTATACTGTGAATTGCAGTGCTATATTGATAGAGTTATTTAAAGTAGTAGCATTGAACTTGTTTCATGACTTACATTTGATGCTGCGTGGTTTTCAGGATATGAAGTTTCTTGTTCGCCATGCATTTTTTTTTTTTTTTTTTTTTTTTTTTTTTTTTTTTTTTTTTTTTTTTTTTTTTTACCGATTGATTTTGTTATCGACGCACCTTTCATTAATTTTTTGCAGCTTGTTGGAGGGGTGGACATGATGCAACAGACCCTTGCCCTCGGAAAGCGGCCACATATTGTTGTGCGTGTTCCTTTCACTCATATGATTACAGTTTTCTTAATAATTTCTTAGATTTTCATAAATGTTGCTCTAGGGCATTAATGTAGGTGATTAGATTTTGTTTGAATCTTTTGCTTATGCTCTTATATTTTAGATGTTGGTATCAAAATCAGTTATGTATGTAAATCTAAATGCATTGTTTGGTAGGCGTTACATAATTCAGTAAAGTGTGAAAAAGTTGATGGATCTTTATCTTTAGTTCATTGATTTAATAGTTTATTCCATTTTTCTTTTTGGTAGGTTGCTACACCTGGACGCCTTATGGATCATCTAACAAACACCAAAGGTTTTTCGCTGGCCACATTGAAATATTTGGTATGATTTTCTTAAGTGTGTATGTATATATTAATCGTATTGCTTATCAAGGAATTAGTTTTTAGAACTGGGAACAATTCCCTTGGGGCTTTAAACTTTTCCATAAATAGTAAGGCAAAGTGATTAGATCTGTGGGGCACTGAAATGTCAAAGTAACTTATCTCACACTGGATGGCTTTTTTTTTTTTTTTTTTTTTTTTCTTTTTTTTTTTTTTTTTGGATTTTCTCAGTTGTATTTGTGATTTCATGCTTTACTGATTGTAAATAGTTTTGGACTTACATTTTAAAGTGGAAATTACCAAGGTGAGGTTGTGTTAGAATAAGTGAGACGATAGATACTCCTATTTTTATTAGAACAAAAAGAGAAGAAGACTGACAATGCATATGGTGTACAAATAATATTGGCTATATCTGTGTGCTGTGGATGCATAAAAAATGTCAGACGCATATTTTTAATGAGCATGCACGACTTTATGTTATTTTGACCTGACTAATCGTCTATTTGGCCACAGTCCGTTTGCTTTCAATATGACCACATATCTTATGAATGATGTGTTTTGTGTGCATGTTGAGCAGGTCCTAGATGAGGCAGACAGGCTGCTAAATGAAGAATTTGAAAAATCACTTGATGAAATTTTGAATGTTATTCCTCACTCACGGAGAACATATTTATTTTCTGCCACGATGACCAAGAAGGTATATATACTTTAAGTGCTCATTTCTACTTTGATTGGTGGTGATTTGTGATTGATTGAATTATGACTTGGATTTTTTATGGACTGACTTTGGAACCTAATATTGCGCCAAGATTTGGGGTAAAAAAAGGTTCAAAGATGGAGAGTTAGAAAGAAAGATTGAGGAAAATGAAAGTAAGGGATCAATGTTTAAACCAATATTCCATTTGTCAAAGCCCAAGAAGATACTGGGTTACATACATATCTATATCTTTTCTTTGCTTAATGAGATTTATGTTCCTAAACCAAAACGATCCAATTGGCAACTCTAATTACAAAACTTTAATCAACTGAAAACCAAGATCATTTTTAGCTCGTGTTCAAAGTTGCAGTTGATGCTATAACACTCATGTTTTATTAATTTGTTCTGTTGATGTTGCAGGTGAGAAAGCTCCAGAGAGCTTGTTTGAAGAATCCTGTAAAGGTAATAATTACATTACGCTGGCACATCATATCATATAATATTTTTTACCTGAAATAGTTTATTCATGCTTGATAATTCTTTTTCTTGATATTTAACAGCTGTCTCTTCTTATTTATTCAGATTGAAGCAGCATCTAAATATTCCACTGTTGACACACTGAAGCAGCAGTACCGCTTTATTCCTGCTAAGTACAAGGTTTGTCCTCTCCTTTGCATTATGCTTGATAAAAAATATGTTAAATTCAGAGTGAGGCGAAAATTGAGTACAGACCATTACAGATGCTAATAACTGCAAATGTTAACTCATTGAAGTTTGTTTTGCCTCTCAAGGTTTTTAATATGAAATCTAACTCAAACTGCACTTAATGAAATAGTATTTCAATCTTTCTAACCCCAATGAATGGAATATATATGCTAATCTTCATTTTGGAAATCCTCTTTGAATACATTTCACTATTGAAAAGATTTGAGATTTTTTTGACAGAAGTTGCAACGTTATCTCAATTCTGATATTTTAAGCCATGACCTTGGAGAAAACTCTTAAGGACTACTGTTTTTGAGGTTCAAATTTATGAAGGGGTGACCTTTTTTTCTATAATGGTTTGCATGTGAGCTATGGAAACCATAAAAGCTTTGAACTTTACTTGTCACTTACCATTGCAGTTGTGTAAGAAAATAGAGTTCATGATATTTTTTAACATATTCAAATATGTATGTTAAGAATTCTTATGGAAAGTTGGCAAATATATTTTCATTAATCAGAAGACAGGATCTGCTCTTATTCATCATATGCTTTTCTATGTTGCTGATTTTGATGTCTACCTTGCATTTACTTCCATTTACCTGTACTTGCAGGAATGCTATCTTGTATATATCCTGACTGAGATGCCAGGATCTTCAACGATGGTTTTTACTCGAACATGTGATGCAACTCGCTTTTTAGCTTTGATGCTTAGAAATCTTGGTCAAAGAGCCATCCCAATTAGTGGTCAGATGAGCCAGGTATATTAATCTAAGTGACTTATGTTTGAATCAGCTTTTGTTGCCTTTATTTATTTTATAGTCACTTGCTTTTTATAAATACTTTTCTTAGTTTGTCAATTGAATAAATGTGACAGTCAAAGAGACTTGGTGCCTTGAATAAGTTTAAGGCTGGAGAGTGCAATATTCTTCTTTGTACTGATGTGGCAAGTAGAGGGCTTGATATTCCATCTGTCGACATGGTTATCAATTATGATATACCAACAAACTCTAAGGTCAGGTCTCCTATCTGCACTGATGTGACAAGTAGAGGGTTTCTATATATATTGGTCTGATGATTTTTGTTTTGAATGTTTTATATGGTAATTTTTTGCTTCATTTTTCATAGCCTTGTTTGCTGATATCAATTTTGTTTCAGGATTACATCCATAGAGTGGGAAGAACTGCTCGTGCAGGACGATCTGGTGTTGCAATCTCACTAGTGAATCAGTACGAATTGGAATGGTATATGCAGATAGAGAAGCTTATTGGTAGGTTCTACATTCTTTCCTTTGCTTAGAGGCATTAATAGTGAGAGTTTCCAACAGACTAAGATTTTACCTTGTTTCAGGCAAAAAGTTGCCTGAGTTTCCTGCTGAAGAAGAGGAAGTCCTGCTATTGTTGGAGCGTGTCATGGAAGCCAAAAGATTAACCATCATGGTATTAAATTGTTCTCGTTTGCCTTTTTTTTCAAAATGGGCATTGTTAATTGTTCGCCAAATAAAAATGGGCTGTCATTAAATTGTCCAATTTTTGTTTTCTTATATCTGTATCGGTATGATGGTTGATGTGGTTATTCATTTTTAATCAATCTTCTGTAGAAAATCAAAGAATCTGGAGGCAAGAAGAGAGGAAGGGGTGGAGGAGATGATGACGACGATGTTGAAAGAACTCTAGGAATCAACAAGAAACTGTCTAGGAATAAGAGGAGATAAGAATTAGTGTCCCTTTGCATGTGTATCTCTATCTCATGAGAATGTGATTCAAATTTTGTATACAACAGANTTCGGCGAGGTAGCCTCTTATGCCTATGTCCACTGTTTTTGTATTTGCTATGAGAGATTATAATAAGAGTTCGATGGAAAATTTCTAACCCCTTTTTCATCATTTGAGGGGGTTTATATACAAGGTTTGTATAAAAGAAAGAGCGAAAATGAAGGGATTACAATTGATTTGAACTGCAACTCTGATATTCTCGTGATTTGGTGTTATGATTGCGCAGAGATTGCTATTAATCTGGTCATTCCTATAATATCTGGTATCTGAAGTTATCTGGGAATTGATTGAACGATCATTCGGATTGTTTGCGACTAGCTTGTGCTTGGTCAAACTATATATCAACGAGCTTATGCTAGGTTAGATAGTCGGTAGAGTTAAACTGATTCTAGGTCGATCTAATACCTCATAACTCACCGAGCTTGATGGAAAAATCACGCACAACAATCTTTGTTTTAGGAACCTAAATCTCATTAAGCAATTCCAGTATCTTCTTGGGCTTTGACAAATGTAATATTGGTTTAAACATTGATCCCTTACTTTCATTTTCCTCAATCGTTCTCTCTAACTCTCCATCTTTGAACCCTTTTTTAACCCCAAATTGGCGCCAGGGCCGGCTTAACGGGTAGGCAGGTGAGGCGCCTGCCTAGGGCCCCAAAAAAATGGGGGCCCAAATTTTTTATAAATTTTTTTTTTTTAATATCTTACAAAAATCAAAAGAGTTTATAATTTCTTATCCAAGCCAAGGGGCCCCAAAAAAAAAAGCCAAAAAAGCCCAAATTTTTTATAAACTTTTTACAATATTCTCACCCAAAGTTTAACAAAATAGCAAGTTTGTACCTCTAGTTTTATATATTCTAGTTTATACCCCTAAATTAACACATTGAATCTCTTTTAACAATGGAAGACTAAAATAGTCATTTACATATCTCAAATTACTCACCCCCAATTCAATCCCAAAATTTGACATTCACATAAATCATCTCCAGCCCTCTTCTACCGCCAGTGGTTTAGAATTGGTTTCGGTCAATTTTGGTTCTGGTCGATTTTCTCATCAAAATCAACCGAAATCATCATTTTATCATTTCCCAACCTTAATAGCTCTCGATTTGACTAATTTTTGATGAATCTCGCAACCCAACTCCACCACACTACAGCCATTTCCAACCTTTTTGGCATGTACTCGACATTGTTGGCCTTCGCCGACACCACCATCTTTCTCCCCTCAGCCCTCTCACCAAAACCCCTATCATACCTTATCTGTTTACTCTGCCAATCGCGGGCCATTGATACCTTTTGGGCCGTGACTTCTCAAGCCCTTTCTTATCAATCTTGGTATTGGAAATCACCCATTTCACCATCCATCACTTCTCCAACATCTACTCTCCAAAACCCCCCACTAACCTAACCTTGTTAGCCTGCCGATTGCTGCCCACCTCTCCTAGTGATTTTTCATCTCAAAAGGCAAAAAAATAAAATAAAATAATGAAATAATGAAATAATTTTTTTAATATATGCTTATATTATTAGAGGGCCCCAAAGTAACTCCTGTCTAGAGTCACAAATGTTCTAGAGACGGCCCTGATTGGCGCAATATTAGGTTCCAAAGTCAGTCCATAAAAAAATCCAAATCACAATTCAGACAATCACAAATCACCATCAAATCAAAGTAGAAATGAGCACTTAAAGTATATATACCTTCTTGGCCATTGTGGCAGAAAATAACTATGGAGATTGACGATGGGTGCGAAATTGTTTTTTTCAAAGTTTATGTGTGGGACAATGTAATTACGGCAAACCTTGGGTGGAAACCTGTGATTCTCCCTTAAAATTTTCCTACATATACTGAGTCATTTGAATCATTTCTTTAACATAAAGAAGCCCAGACCAGTCGAATGACCAGGGCAGTGGCTTGTTGCATAATTAAAACCTCAGCCTCACCTCACTTATTCCATAACTTCAACTCAATTTGCAACATCCACATGGAACCAAAACCCCATACATTTCTCAAACTGCGCTACTGCTTAACCACCTCACAATACCACTTGTTCTCGTCAAAAAAAGCCACAAACAGAAATTCTTTATTCCATCTCACCATAAAGATTGCTACCTGTTCGACGAAATGCCTAGCTGAACCTGAAACACCACAGCTCCAACCAAATTTCTCCCCAAATAACTCTGTAGAAGTTTTAAAGAAATGGGGTTGTAATGATGATGATATATCCAAGATTTTCTCGAGGAGGCCTTCACTTCGCAATACTGATGTTATTCAGCTTCAATCCAAGCTCAATTTACTAAGTGGGTTAGGGATAAAATCTTCTGACCTTTTCAAGATCATTAATTGTCGCCCGCGGTTCCTCAGTTGTCGTCTTAACCATTGCTTTGATGAGCGGCTTGATTACTTCACCAAGTTTTTTGGTTCAAAAACTGTGTTTTGTAAAGCCATTGTTAGGAACCCTTCACTCTTGACTTATGATTTTCACAATAGTATTAAGCCCGCCATTGCTTTGTATGAACAAATGGGGTTGAGTACAAAAGACTTGATCCCTATGCTCGTTTCGCGACCCACATTGATCCCTCGTAGTTCGTTGAATGATCAAAAGATTGATTATATAAACAGAAGCGGTGTTTCAAAAACGTCCAAGATGTATAAATATGTGGTTACTCTCATTGCCATTTCAAGAACTGAAACCATCCAAGAAAAGATATCAAACTTTCAGAAGTTTGGTTTCTTAGAGGATGAAATTTTGCGTCTTTTCGGAAGGTCTCCACTAGTAATAACATTGTCAATCGATAAGGTTCAGAGGAACATGACTTTCGTTGTGGGAACATTGAAGTTCCCTGCAAGTGTAGTGCTTCAGCATCCATTTTTGTTGTATGTGAATCTTGAAGCTGTATTGAAACCTAGACTTGTTCTTGCTGGGAAGATTCAAGACATGGGTTTGTCTCCGGAGATGAAGGGGCAGGCAACAATATTGAGATCTTTAAGAATGAAAGAAAAAAGGTTCTTGAAAGTTTATGTTAATTGTCACCCACAAGAAGTTGCTTATGAGTTGATGGAGGTTTTTAGAAATGCAAAATGTGCCAAGAGATTGGCAGTAGACTCTAAGATGATTGTGCGCAAAGGATTTCCATTCTGAAAATGTTACAATTTTTATTTTGATTGTATTGAATCAATTTTATTGGTTTCACAAAGAACCATGAAAGAGCATTTTGCATACTAATGGTCTTAGGGATCAATTCTGGTCTGTTGGAATGAGAGTCTGATTTAGAAAAGTTCATATTCATTTAATTTGACAGAATTTTGTATTTATGAGGTGCTAATTGGAGTCCAAATAACAATTGGTGTCAATCAAATTCACATCAGAATGAATCATCAAATTTGAAGTCATATGAGATTAATTTGAGCTTTGATAAAATTGTTGGGAATATCAATGATGTTCAATTTGAAAACTATTTCATTAACAAATTATAATATGATAGATAATTAACAAATAATGTCCTGATAATATAGAATTTAAGAACTTATAATATATTGGATTATCGTGGTTGATAATTAACAAAAAAATTATTCTGATAATAAACAAAAAATTTATAATATGGAACACCATGATTGGTAGTATAGTAAATGCATTCAATATAATGACATTTCGATTAATCTATCGAGACCATGAGATTAATAACCGGGTAAACCCTTTAATGGTCATCTCTATTAGCAATCGAGGGGCCCTAAAGTTAACAATTAGATAAACTCTCTTTAATAATACACCCAAAACTCTCTATCATCTCATCCGACCACCTAGGAGTGGTTGTCTTCTGTTACATATTATTACGGGGGCATTTGGATCGAGGGTATATAAGATAACGGGGGTAATTTTTATTTATTTTGCAAGATTCCAGTGTTTGGTTTGCAAGTAATAAAATATTACGGGAATCTTTTATTGTAAATAGTGTTTACTATTGGTAATGTGGGGGGTAATCTGATACCCTCCCCCACCCTTGGGATTAAAACATTACTACCGGGGTAATATGATTTTTCTACCAATTTTGCCTTTAATTAAAAACAATTTTGGACACAATTGCTCTCAAATGTCTACCAAATAACAATTACCCAGCACCCTTACATTTAAGAAATTAGCAATAACACCCCAGTCACAAAAAAGTTTAAAAGTTAACAAAATACTTCCTGCCACCCAAGACCACTACCGGCGTTAGGCAGTTGCTGTAATGGTGCACGACCGGTTGGATATGGTCGATCATGCATCGGTAAGACCTTTTCCGGCCATGGATCACAAATCCATGGCCGAAAACAGCCAGATCTGGAGTTTCTATGGCCATTTCATGTCCAAATATGTGGTCGTGAAAAGACCAGATCTTTGGCCATGAAATGACCATATATCTAGTTATTTTTTGGCGATGGATTTGTGATCCATGGCCATTTCCATCTTTGCCAGCGCAGAGTCAGCCATATACAGCTAGTCGTGCACCATTTCGTCGACTGTTGGTGGCGGCTGACAGTGGTGGCTGGTTACCAACAGTGGCTTGGGGTGGGTAAGGGTGATTTTGCTACAAATTAAAGTTTTATATGGCTGTGATGTTTTAGCGAAATTTTAAATGTAGGGGGTTGAAAGAAATTTGTAATGTTATATATACCCATGCAGGTTGTTCACCATGTGGCACATTTTGGAAGCTTTAGAATTATTCCATTTTGACACATTGGATTGACAAGCCAATCAGATATCTCTATCTTGACACCTTGGATTGATATTTATTGCTTCATCTATAATTATTAATTAATTAAAAAAATAGAATATGTAATAATAATAATAATAATAATAATAATAATAATAATAATAATAATAATAATACAGGTGTATTATATTAGCATTCTAAAGGTCTTACCATAATGACACCTTGGATTTGTGATTTCCATGTAGTTAAACTTTATTGGTGATGATCTAGACAATATTAATTGTTGCCTTGGTATTCCAAAGTCTAAATAAATAGAGATAAATATTGGATTACATAGGTATATTGTATTGGTTGTATTAATAATTAATAATAATACTAATTATATAGGTGCACTCATTGACATTCTAAAGGTCTAACCATAATGACACATTGAAGTTGTGATTGTCATGTGATTGAATTTTATTGGTGATGATGTAAACAATATTAATTGCTACATTGGTATTTCAAAGTCTAAATAAATAGACATAAAGATTGGATTAGAGAGATGTATTGCATTGGTAGTAAAAGCAAACATGTTTATTAATAATTACATAGGTGCATTGTATTGACATTGCAAACCTTTTTTCGTATTCAATATGTATTTAATTATGTTGGCATTCGAAAGATCTAAATAAGGGGTTATAAAAGGGGCGTATGTTCATTTGTGTATTATCGCAATATGCTAGTTGGTGTCAATAATACGTCTGGTCTTTTGTTCATTGTTTATATGTCATGTTAGTTTGTGTCAATACTACGTTTGTTCTTTGTGATTTTGTTAATCGATGATTTTTTATTTATTTTTGTTTTTGTTGTTGTTTACAGGTCAAATATTCATGAATTGATATGAAATAAAGGAATGATATTCGATTGACATTGTCAAATGAATTGTTATTTTGATTCGTTTTTTAGAAGTGTAAGTATATCTTCTAACTATTTTAAAGGTTATTATTTGGTTGAATGATTGGTTTTGTTCGATCAATCTATTTGAATGATTAATTGTATTAGTTTTGCCGAACGGTAAGTGTATTCCTTAACAATTTTAATATAAGAATTAATTAATTTTTGTTGATTTCGTTTTCAAGTAACAGTTGTTATACGAATGAATAATTGTTCTTTAACAATCTTAACATAAATATCAATTAAATTTGTTATGTTTGTTTTCAAGGAAATGCTCATGTACTTTACTAAGATCAAATCAAGGATGATCCTATTGTCAACCGAACTGTGAGTATGTGTCATATCTATATTAATAGAAACAGTTTATTTGTGTTGAATATGTTTTCTGTAAAAACATTCGTGTATTTTAATTTGTTATATGAATTTTTAATTGTTTATGTCATGCTGATGTGTGAGTATATATGTTAAATTAATTAATTTTGACTGATTCCGTTTTCCAATTAATAGGTGTTATTTGAAATATTTTTTATCAGTCCTGATATAACAATCCCTTAAATTTGGGTCAAGTAAACCATTCATTTTATCATCATACATATTTCGGTTTCCACTGAACAATTAGTAGTAAATTGACCGTAACTTGTTCAATAAAAATCTAATTGATGGGAGGATTGAATCTTTCGAAACTAGACAGATGATGCTTTAATTTTATATATTATATGTTTAATTTGGATAACTGTAACCCCACTGTCAAATGAGCAAGTAGTTGCAAATATGTATGCCTCTATGAGAAGTGAACATATCTGTCATCTAAGGTTAATGTTGAACAACAGCTCTAGCACAAATGTGGATATGTTGGGGTTGTCCAGGATGTCTATCTGCTAGGCCTTTGTCAACAGGTGCTTTGCTGTTAGTTGCAAACTTTGAAGAGTGAACAACACCATGCTTTGGGGCCTACATCAAATAACTTGTTAACCCTTCTATTTTTTTAATGGATGCTCATCTCTGGCAGTATTTTGATTTTTTTTTTTTTTAATTATTATTATTATAAATAACTCCCTGAGATCAATGTTGTGATTAGAACCATTTCGGGTGCGTTTGGTATAGTATTTTGGATAGGATTTTGAGGATAGTATTGGATTGTTGGATAGGGGAGTATTACGAGGTAAATTTGAAAAATTTATGAAAAAGCCCTTAGGTTTACTAATTTAATTAAAGACCCTACTATATAAAATGACAAAAACACCCCCACCACCTGCAGTGTCAGATTCCGGCCGCCACCGCCGGAATCTGGCTGGAAAATTTCGTTACGACACAGACCGATCGAATCTGTGCCATAACGCATCATTATGGCCTTTTCCGGTCAGATCCACTACGGATCTGGCCGGAAAAGGCCAGATCTATGGCCTGTTATGGTCGTCGTTGACAACCAGATCTGGCCTTTTCCGACCAGATCCACCACAGATCTGGCCGGAAAAGGCCAGATCGGTGTAATTCCGGCCATTTATGGTCGGAATTTAGGCCGTTATACAGATTCCGGCTATCACCGGCGGTGGTTGCCGGAATCTGACAAGTTGGGTTGATGGGGGGGTTTTTGTTAATTTTTAAAAAGAAAATCAGGGGGCATTTAGTGAAATTAATAACCTTATGGGGTCTAAAAGTAATTAAAAAAATAGGGTAATATTTCTGGAATAGTGTGCCAAACATTATTTGGAGAATAGGATTGGGAATATGGATAAAAATAGGGAGCCAAACGCACCCTTCTTTTTTCAATTTTGAAGGAAAATTTCCATGCTTTATTTAACATTTTTGAGGTCCTTTATCCTGGCTACTATCATCCTTTATCCATTGTTTTAAAACCCGACCCATTAAGGGACTTGTTAATGCCATCGGGTCTCGGGTTGACCGGTCCAACCAGTTAAATTGGTGGTATAACTGATGATCCAAAAAGTTTAAAATCTTGCAAACACATCCTTGAAAAATACATTATCCCCACAAGTTTGAAATCTAGTAAATATACACTTGCGATCTGTTTGAGTTTTGACTTTTTCGGCCAAATTCTAGTTGATTTTGGCGGCCAAAATTCAATTCGATACCACCACCTGAACCATCGTCCTTCAATCTATAAAACCTCCCTAAACCTAGAACTTGGTAGACCGCCGTCGGCTGATTCCAGCATCTAAAATTCAATCAAACACCACCACCTAAACTATCGGCCTCCACTCTATAAAAACCTTCTAACCCCCACACTTGGTAGCCTCCCGTTTGTTGGTCGTGACTTGCACATTGGGTTGAATTTTCAAGCATCGAAACTTTAATCCGACGGCACCCCTTTAACCACTAACCTCTACTTTACAAAAGCCTTCTAACCTTGGCACTTGGTAGTTCCTTCTTCCCTGATAATCAAATTAGAGATTTTGTGAATAGTGAAAAATGGAAATTCGGACTGGAAACGCTATTGGTTCCCGGTTGGACCGGTCCGAACCAGGCTTTAAAACAATGCCTTTTATCTAATTGTTATTGTATCTCGTCTTTTTATGTAGCTTCAAACTCCAAGATCCTATTACTTTGTCTATCCGCTCTTTATGTGCCGGACGGCAGGGAGGGCCTCTTTTATTGGTCTACAACTATTTTCCTAAGAAAATTTAATTTAGTTTATCAACTTTTTGAGGAAATCTAATAGTTTAGATCTCATATATGCATATAGTACCAAACTATTTGCTCGAATGACTTCAGTACTCAGTAGAACATGTACTATTCTTGAAAGAAAAACTTATTAAATATTTTCATCGAGAAAATTCTTCTCAACTAACGGGATAATATTCATTACATTTTTTAGTGCGGTTAACTAAAGAACAATGGAAAATATAGCATCTAGTAAAGGAAATGACCCTTAAATCTATGTTACAGTTTCATACTTACTGAATCAGAATGAAACAAAAAAGTGAGAAAAAAAATAAAAGGAACATTCCCAATACATCCACCAGTTATTCCCACTTTAATGGGGAACGAAGTTCCTTCTGTTAACAGCATAACTTCTACTTCTTGGATACAACACATCTGCCTTTGAGTTTGAACCATCTTCCTCAAATGAACATGGCCCTTCCTCATCAATTCTCCCCATCTTCCCCATACTAACACTGTAACTCCTCCCCATCCCACCACTCTGCTTCGTCCTCTCTGCACGCCCATACAGATTCAACTGCATGTTCTTTCTTGACGCTGCTCGTAAAAGCTCCCTGAATTCTACATCATCAATCGGCTTGGAAGAGTTGACACTCAAACTCTTAGACAAGTGCACAACTTGTGCTGTGGGGCAGACTACCGTGCCATCGTAATTAACTATCCTGCCATTGCAATCCTGCATGCCCTTGACGTAAAAATCTCTAGCTCTTGAAAGAATTTTAACGGGCGCTAAGATTACTAGCATGAACTTGCTTCGCTTGTTCGCTTTGCTTCTCATTTTTGCAGCTTATGTCTTTAAAGCTCGTTAATGGCGAAGAAATTGATAGAATGTGAATAAGAAGGAAGAAGATTGCATGTTTTGAGACGAAGGGAGTAGACACACATATATATAAATGGGGGCTTTAGCTTTATTGTTTAGGATTTATTTCTTGGAAGTAGCTTCAAAATAGTTTGAAAAGATCGGCAACGCAGTGCAGACTTTTTCAAATGGGAAAAAGACAAGTGAAAGCTTCAAATAAAATACATAATTAAATGAATAGGACATTAGTTAGCAGGCCAAAGTTGAAAAATAATGTGAGGGAACAAACGCTTATTGAATAATTTAACCATTAGATGTCAAATTACCCTTTTGAATTAGGCATTGACTGTTTCTTGTCTTAAGATCGCCGTCAATTTTGATAATCAGATGGTCAAAAACAAAGAAAAGGGTTTCTGGTAATTAAGCTGCGAAAAGTTTAGGATGTGGGCAGTCCATGCTGTCTATGATCTAATTTGTGTGCCGATACAATTAAATCAGATCTCGTGTATACAAAAATCTTCTCTTTTACGACATACCTTATTGAATAAACATATAGATAATATAGGATGTATAAATGATTATCTAATACTCTCATTAAGCTGACTATTTTATTCCATTTACTTAGGTCATCATCATAAAATTATTTGAGAGGTAATGATTACATAAGTTCCAATATCATCCAAAAGATCGGTTGTTAATAGGAGTAATCATTGAAACTCTTACTCGGTCGATAATTCAAAGTCTCGAAAAATTAGCTAAAGTACGCGTAAACTGACCCGAACACCCTGATTAAAAAAAAAAAAATTAGTCGACTTTATGCATAGACATTTGCTTTTTCCTGTGTCAGATTTTGAAATCCTTTCTAGATATTTATGTGGAAACTTAATTAGAAGTGGTGAAATTTGTTACTCACCCACTGTGTCTGGATTTTCCCAGTTCTTTTTTATGTTCATCCGAAACTTCCGCTTACAACTCTTATATAATTATTATGCTCACCAGGTATATAGTATATATTGGGAGTAACAAGACATGTTTAGCCAAAATAGTCGTCTACCCTTTTTAATAAATTCATTTATTTGAATACTATCCGCTGTGCTTGAGAGAGAATGACCATGTTAAGAATAGGTTATTATCTCTAATTTTTTTCCTTTTTTTTCTTTTTATTATGACTGGAGTGTTCGGACTATGTGCATACTCCAACTAATCCTTAAAACCTATTGAACACTGTACAAACCCAATGTTCCAAATACGCCATAAATATGGTAAGTGACCCCAAAGTGATGCGAACCTAGGAAGTCAATGGAATAAACCTTTATAACTGTCAGGCCAATCCTTTAGGGTTTCTCTAAATAATTGTTGCGATATTGTATCCATTTTCCTATTGAAGACGAATTTAAATTCAAAAAAATAATTCCTTATGGTAGAGGGGGTAGTTTTAGTATTGAAGAAATCTCGAGGGAGGTCATCATAAATATTTTTAAAATATTTGTCATAATTACAGAGGAATAAAAATACAAGTATATAATTTAGTTTTTGAAAGTAAAAATGGTAGCATGTAGAAATTAATGTTCAATTGATAAAATTGTTTCTAATGTCATTATTGACCAACATATATAAATGACTTCCCAGTATTCTAACAAGACTGGGAAATTCAAACATTAGAACAAGCTCTTGTTTCTTCTCTTTTCCGTATTTGGGTATTAATAGCATTCTCTTGCAACAAAATATTGCAGGTGCAAACATGAAAAGCAAAGCCGAAATGCGAAGCAAGTTGAGGCACTGCATAGAAAAACCAAGAAAGATTTTACACAAGGCTAGAGACTTTTATGTCAAGAGCATGGAGGATTGCGCTAGTAAGGTAGGTTATGGCGGCGTGGTGGGCTGCCCCACTGCACAAGTCTCTCGTTTGCCCAGAAGTTTTAGTGTCAATTATTCAAAGTCGAGGAACAATGAAAAGTTTAGAGAATTTCTAGCAGCGATGTCTAAAAAAATGGGGACTGAGATGGATTTGAATGCGAGGGAAGAAGAGTTGAGACAACAGAAAATGGAGAATTATGGGGCGGTGAAAAGATGTTACACAAGTGTTGGACTTGGAAAGATTGGGAGAATTGATGAAGATAGGCCCTGTTATTTTGAAGAAGATATGTTGTATGCCAGTAGCAGAAGTCCATTTTAACTCTTCTTTATATATATATGGATTTGCATAAACATCCTTTGTATAAAATGACCAAATTTTATGACATACTACTAACCCCTCAAAGTTAGACAATAGTATAAGAAAGGTAGAAAGCCTTTCTGCAATTTGGAAAACTGTCACAAACTTCATTGAAATTCACCAGAAACTTCTCTTAATAATTCATCATAGTTCTCTTTTCCTGTTTTCCAAATCAAGGAATCTGCTTGCTCGTGATTATAAATGCAAGTTAAAAAAAAAAAAAAAAAATTAGCTGAATTACTTTGACCCCCTATCTATTTCCCACTATCAATATTAATCCCAATGTACGTTAATCTTTGTTTATTTGATTTACAATAAAGATCGGCTCACAATCCAATCTTATAAATTTTTTCTCACAACCTCGACGTATCACCTCGTAATTAGGCAAGCAGAATTCATAGTGAATAGGCAGAACCTATTTGCGAACTGATTAATTGCAAGCTATCATGTCGAGATTGTGAGAGAAAGTTTGTGAGATTGTGTTGTAAGTGTAGTATTACTCTTTAATTTATGATTCTAACAAAGCTAACCATTGAAATAGCTATTTTACCCATATTATTTCAATTACTGCCTTGAGCACCAGTGGCGGATCTAGGAATTTCACTCGATGGGGGCAAAAAATAAACAAAAAAATTTTTTCCAAAGAGAAAAATGGAAGAGAAAAAGGGAAAGAGAGGTTTCAGCGTGTGTTTTGTTCTGGTACTGTAAGAGTTCAAAAACCAAAAAAGCTTTTCTTTTCCCAAAATGTCAAAGTTATATAGTGGGCAAAATGTCAAACTCTTGTGAGGGCAAAATGTCAAAGTCTTATAAGGGATAAAATGCAACTAAATATAAATATTTATACAATCTAAAGTTTTTTAAAGTTTGAGTGGGAGCCATGGTCTCCACTCGTCATTAAGTAAATCCGCCACTGTTGAGCACCCACAAGTATTGAAAACAGGAGCTTAGCTCCTATTTCGTTGAAAAAGTTTTGTTAAGTTAGTAAATTACATTTTTACCCTTCCCTCCCACAGTTGCCACCAAACTTGTGCTAACGATTTCCGTGGAGGCCTCATAGCAACTATAAGAGGCCTTCCAAGTTCACAAAACCGACAAGGCCTATAAAGGCTACATTCGGCCTTGGAAGCTCTGAAGGAGGCCCAATCCAGCCTCAAAGTGTTGTCGGACAGCTACCCACCGACATGTGCACACACGCATATGCAGACATCTAAAGAGTCCCCTCAATTAGTTTCTTCTACAAGTTTTCTACTTATATGACAGTTTGATACTATCAATATTTCTGCAAGACTTTTAGGTTCAGAATAAACGTATTCAAAAGCATTGAAAATAGGTTAGATACTGCATTTGAATTTAGCGTATGAAAAACGTATGGTCATTTTTTATTAGTACAATTTATCCTGTATCGCCACCCAATTAGAAAAGACAGGGAGGCCTTCAACTTCAAGATCCACCGCTCATTTATTGAGAGCTCTACCATTCAAACCTACCAACGTGAGTTTGTATCTGCAAAATTCCATCAGTAAAGAATGTGGAAACTGGAAAGTCATTTTAACAAGTACAACTTCATGTCAACAGTGCATTATCCTCCTTTCAATCCATTGCTCGATAAATTTGCAGGGTATTTTTTGCCACCTCTATGTTTTACTGTCAATCTCCCGAGGTTTAAGAAACTAACAACATAACCCTCAATGTGACTATGGAGAGGAGAAAGTAGTATATGGTTCATTGGTTTTGATGTTGGTTGTTTTTTTTTTTTCGAAAAAGAATCAAATATAAATCAGATTTAGGGGTACTAGTGTTAGTTTCAGAAACTTAGGGGTTTTAGAGTTACTAAATTCTGTCGGTGAGAAGAAACCTTAACTAATGTTCAAAGTTTGACACTTAATGGATTTGGAAGAAAAATCTAAAAACACTTAACGACTCTACATTTTGATACACACTTATGTTTTACGATGTGACACTGAACATAATTATATTTATTAAAAAACTTTTAAATTATATTAAATGTTTAATTAAAATTTTAATTAAGTAAATTTAATTTTTATATCCAAACTATAAAAAACATAACATTTTTTATATTTACTATGGATAATTAATCATAACTTGTTATAATTTAAGATTAATTTTAGTGTTAACTTATTTAATATTTAGATATGAGTTCAAATTAGTATTTAAATATTTTTTATATTTTATTTTATTGACTTCTACTCGAATTTAACTTTGCATACTAATTAATTATTTATTTTTTCAGTTGATTTAAAAAAAAAAAAAAACATTTAAAGAAATAGCCATTAATGAAAGTTTGGTAGAGATGTTAAATAAAATTCAAAGATGATACTATACCAAAGCCGAGCACAAACAATTTGATGACACGTTATCATGTAGTCACAAATAATGGCTCATCTCTAAACTTATTTAAGGGAGTAAAATATCAAATTAGTTAAAAAGAAAAGAAAAATAAATATATATTCTCATTTAAGATATTATTACTAAGAATGATAGGTTAACAATTATTAATCACTTAATAAAAATATACACTTCAAAATATGAAAGATGAAATATATTTAAAAACTTAATTTCACTTAAAGTTTTATCCCCAAAACATTTAATTCTTAATTTTTTATATTTATTATTGATTAAAGTAGTTAAATATGAAAATTTAAAGACTATTATTTATAATTAGTTGTTATAGTTTATGAGTAAAACTTACTTAATATCTAAATGAAAGTTCAAATTATTAGTCACTTATCAATTGTTGACTAACAATTATTTCATAAACAACTGTATTATTATAGTTTAAGATGATCTAATGGACTTGATAATGAAGCGATTTTTAAAGTGGTTTGACGAGTATGAATCAAGCCTACATCCACTGCTATGTTATTGGTTTTTATTTGCTTTACATATAGAGTGATTACAAAGGAAAGCACGTAAATGTGAAGTTAAACTCTTTTTAAGTGTGTTTCCTGCTCTCTATCTAAATTAACCCCCCAAATGGAGGTAGAGTCTCTCTTTTATACACCGTCTGACAATGGTTGGGAGTGGTTGTTATGGGGTGAATTACACGCATAATCCCCTATAATCTGAATTTGAGCCAGCCTCTCCCATACTTAAATTTGAACACCCGTGCTTATATTTGGTAGACTTGTTAGAGAAGTCATGTACTATCGGAGCGACACATGAGGTAGGCTCAATCGTCAGATCCTGGTTTTGAGTAAAGACACGTGGCATGAATCTCGTTGTCAGCAAAGCCGTGTGCAAGGTTAATCCCCCATTCGGCTGAAAAATCAGATTAGATATATGATACTACAGTAGCAAACTTGTAAGTGAAGTCTAACTTGTTGTAGGCCTTTAATTTGTGGATAGTGTTTAACTTGAAAACAGTACTAAACTTGTAAATAAGATTAACCATGTGCAAGGTTAACCCCCTATGCCGATGAAAAATCATATTAGATATGTGATGTTACAGCAACAAACTTGTAAGTGAAGTCTAACTTATTGTAGGCCTTTAATTTATGGATAATGTTTAACTTGAAAACAGCACTAAACTTGTAAATGAGATTAGTTCAAGATAGGCTGACACATGGTGTAGATCTAAGGGTTGAGCAATAGCAAATCCATTGGGCACATGGCATTAATTTATGCTCACTGGATTTACCAAATAACCCAAACTTTAAATGCGAGAGTTATGAGCAATGGTCCCTCTAACGAGTGGTTAACAAATCTTTTTATGTTTTCAAAAAAAAAAAAACACTACATACAATACCAAACACTAGTTTAATTTCCCCTTCATTAGTGATAAAATTGCAAAAAATATCATTCAAATTATATGAGATATTTATTATGCTTCAGAAGCGAAAAAAAAAAAAAGGCTAATGTTACTCCAGAATTGTAAAGAGTCCCTTCAATTAGATTCTTCTACAAGTTTTCTACTTATATGACAGTTTGATACCATCAATACTTCTGCAAGACTTTTAGGTTCTGAATAAACGTATTCAGAAGCATTGAAAATAGGCTAGATATTGCATTTGAAATTAGCATGTGAAAAACGTATAGTCCTTTTTTATTAGTACAATTTGTCATGTATCGCCACCCAATTAGAACACAGAGACAATCTGGGGAGGCCTTCAACTACAAGATCCTCCTTTCATCTACCATTCAAACCTACCAACGTGAATTTGTATCTGCATCATTCCAGTAGTATAGATTCAGGGGTGCTGGTGTTAGTTTCGGAAATTTATGCTCATTGGATTTACCACACAACATAAACATTTTAAATACGACAGTTATGAGCAATGGTCCCTCAATTCTGACGGTTGTCAGCGATGGAAGAAGCAATGAAATATCTAAGTCGCACGAAAGCTACTCCGCTTCATTCCTATTATTAACAAATCTTTTGGTGAAGAAACAGCTGCATGAACAATATGCATCTCCGTTTTATTAGTCCTCCGAGGTTGAGATGGATATATTTTATTCTGATTCTTCTGCTTAAACTGTCGGCATCGACCGTCTTCTCCAGCTCAATTGTTAAATATCTTCCAGGCTATGAGGGTCAACTTCCATTCAAGCTCGAAACAGGGTAAGCTGTTTTAAGTTTTTTCTTCCCTTTTGCTTACGAGCATATCATTGATGACCATATGCAGTAAACAATTTGATTTGTTATTTTTGTTGTTGACTTTGTTTTTTTGTGTATGTATATATGTATATATATAGAGTTTAATGAATTGTTTTTAAGTTAAAAAAAAGAAAACGTGAAATTACACTAAAGCCCTCTCAATCTCGGGAGTGAAATTTGATTTTTAATATATGGGTGTAATGCTGAATAGGTACGAAAGTGTAGGAGACTCCGAGTTATTCTACTACTTCATCGAGTCGCAAGGTGACATTGAAGAGGATCCTCTAATTCTTTGGCTGTCAGGGGGCCCTGGCTGTTCTTCCTTCTATGGACTCATCTATGAAATTGGTATTCTGTCTCATCTTTAAGTAACACTTTGTTTCCATAGCAATAGTTAGTCATGCATAAAGGGGTATCTAATCATTTTGAATACCACAATGGGAAACAGTCTTTCACAAGAACCTTGTAGTAGTTTCTTGTCGGCATGAAACTTGTCCAAATTTTAGATACAGGCGGACTTTCGGATATCTGTTTCAATATATATATATATATATAATTTCAGGATTTTTTCTTTTTTCGTTATGGCTGTCAAATCGGTGAACTGCCAGCCAGTTTTGGTCGTGGTGTAGGCCATTGTATATATTTTGGCTACCACCGACGGTGGTTGTCGGAATCTGGCAAATATGGGTTGATGGGGGTGTTTTGTTAATTTTTAAACTTTTTTATGGGGGTATTTAATGAAATTAATAAACTTAAAGAGTCTAAAAGTAATTAAAAAAATATAGTAATATTTCTGGAATAATGTGCCAAACAATATTTGGAGAATAGGATTGGGAATATGAGTAGAAAAAGGTAGCCAAACACACCCTAAATATTTATCCAAAGAAAAGTTACAAAAGAAGATTAAAGGGTATAGAAATGAGTATTATTGATCAAGAAATCAAATACCGCTCATTTACATAAATTAAACCAATCTGTAACCTCGAATGTCAGAAAATAAATATAACAAAAATAAACTCTACTCTTACGCGAATGAAAATTAAACTATCATAACAAAAGAGAAAAACTACTAGAATTGTAAAAAGATGATATGAGAAAATATATTAACCCCTTCATCAACAATTTGTGCAGGTCCATTGGAGTTTGATATCCACAACTATACGGGTGGCTTACCAAGACTTAAGGATTATCCATATGCATGGACTAAGGTACTGAGCCTACTGGTGTACACACAAACAAATTTTACTTATTTTTGTGTAAACATTAATGTATATGAATATAGAAGATCTCTAAAAGATGATAATTATTTCTCCAGACAGCCAGCATTATCTTTCTAGATGCACCTGTAGGCACAGGTTTCTCTTATGCTAGAACCCCAGAAGGCTGGCCCACCTCAGACTCTAAATCAGCTGAGCAATCCTATCAGTTTCTTAAAAAGGTGAGTTAATTAATTAAATAAACCCTTATAAATTATTTTGATGAATGTGCTTTGAATTTCTTTCGAAAATTATATTGCAGTGGTTACTTAAACACCCACAGTATCTCCAAGTTGAGCTATACATTGGTGGTGATTCTTATTCAGGCATGGTAGTTCCCCAAATCACCAAAAAGATAATAGACGGTCAGTTAACTCTTATTCAGAAACGATATGTGCATTGATGGAAACCTATAGATCCCTTCTTTAATTACTTTGATTTATTATGCAGAAAATGGACCTGATACCAATCTACGTATGAATCTCAAAGTATGTTATTAATAATAAGACTTTGTATATATTACTCTTCTTGAAATTTAATTATAGCAGATCCGCGTAACGTATTCTGAATGAGTGTAGGGATATATTATGGGGAGCCCACATACAGATTCTATTATTGATGAGAATTCAAAAATAATATTTGCTCATCGTATGGCACTCATATCAGATGAACTCTATCAGGTGCTTAATTAATTGATAAATAATCCTATGTATATTTCACAATATTTACAGCATTAAATTCGTTTTAATTTATAGTTTCTCATTTCAAAGTGTCTGATGTCTTCCTGTAGGAACTCAAAACAAGCTGCAAGGGAAATTATCATGTTGTAGACGTCTCCAATACGAGATGTGTAGCTGCTCTTCAAACTTACAAAAACGTGAGATATTTATAGTTAATCGCATTCAAAAAATTTACTTCAAACTTCCAAGGACTAAATTGTTTTATTTTATTTTTTTGAAATCTGAAGTGCATCAAAGACATAAATCGGAGTGATATCCTGGAACCAAAGTGTACATATGCATCTCCACATATGAACCAAGCAGAAATGCCTCACAGGTCTCTACAAGAAAATTCTACAAGTTTCATCCTTTCACCTCCAAGAATCCCTGAACTATGGTGTCGGGTAAACCAACCCTTAACCCTGATTAATCATATAAGAACATACAAATCCTCTTACATACGCCCATATTAATTCGATCCCTTTTTTTCAGAACTTTAATTATGCGCTTTCCTACATGTGGGCAAATGATGCTCAAGTCCAAGATGCTTTACACATTAGAAAGGTTAGTGATTAAAACATGCAATTGTAATGATCAAGAAATTCTTAAATGTGGACATTTGCTCTGTTTTTCTTTTTGTAAAATTCAGACCAATAACTCTTTATGTCAAGAATTGTTAAAATCAAGGAATATGGATAAAGAGCTCAAATTCAGCAGAGGAAGCTAGAGGGTGCAAATTAAAAATATAACACCAGGATTTTCCTTTATGATGGCAACAGGGATTTGTATCAGATTGGCAGCGATGCAACAAGAGCATATCATACACCAAGGATATCTTGAGCGTGGTTGATATTAATCGGTATCTCAGTCGATACGGCTTGCAAGTTCTCATAGAATGGTAATTCTCAATACTGAGTAACTGATCAACATTAAAATATTACTACTTCACTAATATATATATTAACTGATCTGAACAAACTCACATCTGTGCCCTATGATGAGCACTGTTTGGTGATCAACTATATGTGTGTTTTCTCAAAGTAGGTACACACACTTGAAGCAATTCATTAACTATATAAGTTGTTTTCCCTCAGCGGAGATCATGACATGGTTGTTCCCCTTCTGGGTACCGAACAATGGATAAAGTCGCTTAACTTGACCATTGTAAATGACTGGCGCCCATGGTTCGTTGACGGCCAAGTTGCAGGGTGGGCAATCTCTAACATTCTGTTAACGATCGACGTACTTTCTCTTTGGTTGAATATATATTACTTTTAAAAGAATCTTCCTCTCTGATTTATGATGTTTTTTCAATGTAGATACACACAAAAATATTCAGAACATGGATATCGTTTGACTTACGCCACTGTCAAGGCAAGTAAGATACAATCATATACTATATACAGATACAATCTTGTATATGATTGTAAGATTAGCACCAATTTCTTGGAATATTTTATAGATGTATATTAAAGAAACAAGTCTTACATGAGTTGTCTTATTTGGTATAGGGTGCAGGTCATCCAGCTCTAGAATATTATCGCAGAGAAGGTTATGAGATGTTTCGGAGGTGGATACATTGGTATCCTCTCTAGATTATGCTCAGATTACCAGAAGGTTCATAATAATATTCAGTATTCACTAAGCGCAAGTGGAAATAATGTTAAGAGATTTTAGAAATAAGTGTGACCACTACTATTTATGTTGCGTGGTGTTTATTGTAATTGCTAATCAGAAACCAGTTTGATATAATTATTTATGTCACTTATCATATCATCCCATGTTCATTAACCATATACAGACACCAATTCACACACGTATGATAGGAAAAAAACAATTTTCACCAGAGGTTTGGCTTAACACTTGAGTTTTGTAGAACCTTTTTAGTCCTTCTCAGTAATATTTTGGTCCTTACCATTAGAAAACATCTGAGACCAAATTGTTATTCACATTCACCAAAACATGACTAAATTTTTTTACAAGATTAAAGTGTTACTTATACTAAACCTCAAGGATAAAATTGTTATTATCTCCCACATAGACACCATATACAGACACCAATTCACACAAGTATATGCAGAAACCAATTCAGCCACCCCCACACACATATGCAGACACCAATTCATTTACCTAGAGATAAAATTTACAATGAATGCATTTTCAATTTTTCTTAAAACAAAATCAAAGATCTTTTTTATGTTTTCAAAACAAAACATAAACAGGATCAAAACTACTTTAATTTCCCTTTCATTAGAGATAAAATTGCAAAAAAATATCATTCAAAATTACGAGATATTTATTATGCTTCAGAAGCAAAAAAAAAAAAAAAAAAAAGGCTAATCTACTCCACTATTGTAAAGAGTCCCTTCAATTAGTTCTTCTTAGTATTGTTCAGCTGGATGCTTCAGTTTTTTTTTTTTTTTTTTTTTTTTTTTTTTTTTTTTGTAATGGCTACTGCAAAGCTATAGAAAACATTGGTGTACTGCATTGATGAAAGGAACTAATGCTCCTTTGCAAAAGTTCCTGAATTACTGCAGAATCAAAGCTTCTATAAACCAAGTCAAGAATCTTACAGGCAAGTCCAAGTGTTCTGAGTTTGGTTTGAGGGGAAGAGTTAACCAAAAGCAATGAAGATGCAAAAGTGTAAAGTCCAGGTGTCTTAGTGTTGAGATTGTGAAGCCAAATTCAATCCAAATTAGAGTTGGATTAAGATATGAGTTTTTCTAATTAATTTGTGTTTATCTAGAATTGTTTTCGTTTAGGAATACAATTAAGAATAGTATTATAATTGTATTAGGAATTAAAATAAAGTTCCTATTAGGCTATGGGATTTGACTTTTGAGTCTTATTAGGAATAGTGTCCCATGTAGGGATGGGCATAATACTCGCCCCTGCGGGGATCAGTCCCAAAAGGAATAGAGTTTCCCCGAATTATTCGAGGTTTGGGTCAGGCTTGGGCTGAAGATTGGTCCCCGAATTCGGGGACGGGCCAGGGACGAGAATATATATATATATAATATGTTAATGTTATGAAAGAAAAGTTATACATTAGACATTAGACATTAGACATTATCATTCAAAATTTAATTATAATCAAAAGCATAGTCTTGGATTGAACAAATATATTACAAACCATGACATTATCACTTTCCAATGCCACTGTCAGATATGATCCAAAGACCTCTCATGGAGTTTAATTATTATTATGGAGTTTAAACTAGCAGTAGCAGACATCATCTTTCAATATTCTAACTCAATTCTCAAGAGAATAATAGCATACAATAACAATAATTTAAAACAATTCCTTTACTCTTAAGTATAGTAAAATACACAAAATAAATGGCCTCTCCGGGAGAGCTAGCTGTTCTAGGCATTATTTGCCTGAGGATACAACCTACAAACTACAGAGCATCAATTTTGCTCTTTTGGATTTCGATAAACAGAGAAACATAGAAGAGAGACACAATCTAAAGCTAATGTTGAACAAAATCGTCTTTAATGAAGACCATCAGCATGAAATGAACACTATTATTTATGATGTGGTGTAATCAGATCAAACATCAAGTTATGAACGGCTAATACAAAGATCCAGGAGATTAGAGACATACATCTAAAAAAGAATCATGGAAATAACAAAACCATCACCATTTCTTATGAACTAGCACAAATCATGATCAGATTCAAACGAGTAAAATACGAGAGCGATACTGATACACATACCTTGATGCGACGACGGTGGAGATTGCAGAGTGCAAACGATGGCTGATGAGAAGTGGAGTCAGGAGAGTGGACAGTGGAGACATGGGAAGCAGCACTGGCGACAGTGGAGTACCCTTTTTAGTCACGATTTAGGATAAGAGAAGGCTTATGAGTGATGAGAGATTGAGTTTAAGGAAAGGTTGATGAGATGAGAGACTGAGTTTGAGAGAAAGGTTAGGGATTTGGGTTTCACGATTTGGGAATCTAGGATGAATGAAAACTTAAAAAGTGAAAAGCGATTTAAAAAAAAAAACTAGTACCCGCAGGCACCCACGGGTAAACCCATCTAACCCATTAACAAATCGGGTCGAGCCAGGTACGGATAGAAACAAAACAGGTCAAATGTTAAGGACCCGTAGCCTATATTTTTTCCTTGGGTTTAGGGTCGACTCGCGGGTCTGAACCCATTTTGCCAGGTCTACCAACCAGACAGCTCTAATCAGGTGGCCGATGCCCTATCCAGAAGAGAAGACACTTAGTTGGCTACTATGTCTGTTGTGACCTTCTCAGAATTTGATGATCTTGCGGCTGAAACACAATAGGATGCAAAGCTCCAAACTATCATCCAAGACTTGCTATTTGATCCCAATAGTCGACCAAACTATATCTTTCGCTGTGGCTATCTCCTCTACAAAAACTGGTTGGTATTACCGAAATCCTCTAAGTTTATTCCTAAGTTGTTAGATGAATTTCACTACAGTCTAGGAGGTGGACACTCTGGTTTTTTCAGAACAATATTAAGAGGGTGACAAACCTAGTGTTTTAGGAGGGAATTAAGAAGGATGTTCAAGAGTATGTGCAGAAGTGCTCTATTTGTCAATTGAATAAACAATCAGCCTTTAAACTAGCAGGGCTACTCCAACCTTTACTTATTCCCACGTAGGTGTTTGAGGATATTAGTATGGATTTTATAGGGGGGGGTTACCCAAAGCCAAAGGTCAGGAACTATCATGGTGGTAGTGGACATATTAACTAAATACAATCACTTTATTCCCTTGTGTCACCCCTACACGGCGAAGGATGTGGCTGCTCTCTTTATTTCTGAAATTGTGAAATTTCATGGCTTCCCAAAGTCAATTGTATTTGATCGAGATAAGGTGTTTATTAGTCAATTTTGGCAAGAATTGTTTAAGGTAGCTGGCACCAAGCTGAAATTCAGTTCAACATATCACCCTCAAACTAACGACCAAATGGAGGTCGTCAACCGTTGTTTGGAAGCTTATCTATGATGCTTTTGTAGTAATCAACCTAAATAGTGGCCATGGTGGTTGGCTTGGGCAGAATTTTGGTATAACTCTACATACCACAATTCCACCAAAATGACACCATTCAAAGCACTTTATGGCAGGGATCCACCCACTCTTCTCCGTTTCACCAACTGTCCATCCTTGGTAAAAGAAGTGAACCAGCAAATGGCAAAACGTAACTCTATTTTGGCTAAACTAAAACATTATTTAACTATCGCCTAGGACCACATGAAGACATATGTTGATGTACACCGTCGGGATGTCACTTTTCAGCTAGGGGACCAAGTATTTTTAAAGCTCCAACCATACCGATTTAAATCTTTGGCCACTAAACTCGATGAGAAGCTAAGCCCATGCTTTTATGGACCATTTCCCATTTTAGAGAAGATTGGATAGGTCACCTATAAACTGGAGCGACCACCAACTGCCAAGATCCACCCCGTCTTTCATGTATCACAGCTTAAGCGTAGCTTGCACAGCACAGTTCCCATCCAACCCTTTCCATCCTTTCTCACCAAAGACATGGAGCTACTGGTGCAACCGGAATCAATATTGGCAATCCACACATTAGTGGATAACTCTTAACAAGTCCTTATTAAATGGAAAGATCTAGCCCCTTTTGAAGCCACACGGGAGGCGTACGACACCATCAAGCTTTAGTTCCCTCAATTCCACCTTGAGGACAAGGTGGCTCTTCAAGAAGGGGGGGGGGGGGGGGGGGGGGGGGGGGGGGGGGGGTGGTGTTGTTGTATAGACCTCTCATTAAGAAGGTGTACCAATATAAAGGGCATAAGGGTAAAAAGGAGTCGGAGTGCATGTGTGTTAGTGGAGGTTGGTTAGGGGTTATTGGTGTGTGAAGAATCAATTGGTTAGTGAGGGGAATAATTCAGTTAAAGGATAAGTATAAAAGAGAGGTGTGAGTTTAGGAAGATACAGAGATTATTAAGAATCATCAAAGGAGGCCCCCAACTCCTCGAATTGCTAGGACTATCTGTTACTTTCCTTGTTCATTGTACTTGCTAATTGTCCTAGTGATTGTTATTTCCATTCCATTAATACAATACTGAATTGATTCAAAATTACATTGTTCTTTATTTTTATTTTTTTTGCCATTTTTGCATATTGTGTTGCATGGTTGAGTAAGATTGATAGGGAGTTCCATCAGATTTATTGTTAAAGAGGTGAAAGTTCTATCCTTATCCCTGAAGAAGTGTTGCGTATACTCTCACAGCATTTTTTTTTTCTGGAGAAGCTTCTTTAGAGTTAATCAGAACATTGTTATTTACAGGTGTCGTCCTTTTCATTTGGGCTCATTGATTACATGTCATAAAATGAAATTTGGTTATAGGTATTTTACCAATTAGTGACTTTTGCTTTCTTTGAAGAATCTCATATTCAGTCTTGCATGCTAGATTGTACTAGCACGATGACTATAGTGTTACCATTATGGTCTCAAAGGTAAAATCACCTACAACTTTAAAACAATGTTCGAAAAGAGTCATACTGCTAGGTATTAACTATCAAGCAAACAAAATATTTTAAAAGCTTTCGTTTATTAAATATTTGGGTGATGTGACCAGGTTGATCCGAGCACTGGTGAGGCAGAGGATGATGGTGTGGAAGATGAATACCAATTGGAGGACCTTCTGATTAAATGATGAAAGTGCTTGTCTCCAATTTCAGGAATGCATGGGAAAGCATGGGTCCAGATTTTGAGCGAGTCGATGAGTATGGCCTTGGTCCAAGGGAAAGCCTGACTGAAGCTAATAG